ATAAGTATTCATGATTTTATCAAATCCATTTACACAGAACAAATTTTAAACATGAGTAATGACAAATGAAGAGGTAACTACAGTTCTTTTTCAATAGTCTGTTTTTTTAATTACAATTTTGCAACGGAAATTACAGAAATAGGAAAAAATGATGTGAGATTTTTGTAATATCTCGACTGCATAACAGATAGATTTATTAATATAGTGAGATATTTGCTATTGTTTTGATGCAGTTGGCACATGGAATCATGGTACATTTATTGAGCAATAATCGCAGTCATGATTCACAGAGATACGTAGTTGCAATGTCTTTTCCATGTGGTTAAACTTTTTATGTGCTCACACCAAAACATCTTGACATCCATCACAGCCTTTCAAAAAAATCTGTTTATTTTCTTTCTTTCTTTCTTTTAAGTCAATGAAGTTTTCCTTCATTGAATCGTTATCACTAAATCTTGATATATATATATATATATATATATATATATATATATATATATATATATATATATATATATATATATATATATATATATTATACATCGTGGCTGACCGAGTTCCATAATGGCCTTTGTTTCCCACGGAAGTATGGATACCCCCGGTCCTCAAGACGAGACAAAGGGCGCAAGAGCGAATCATATTGGGAATTATTTAAAGCTAAATGGATACGAGGATAGACGAAGGTAAGAAATAATAGACATGATATGGGTATGAGAGGAAATCAGGAGAGAAGCAAAGACACGAGTACGTGTCTGTAAGCTCTGGCAAAGCATGACTCAGTCTGAGTCGAAAACTTTTATGCTGCAGTGGATGGACTTTGTGTGTGTGTGTGTGTGTGTGTTGTGTGTGTGTGTGTGTGTGTGTGTGTGCTATATATATATATATATATATATATATATATATAATATATATATATATATATATATGCATATATATGCATATATATATATATATATATATATATATATATATATATATATATATATATATATATATATATATATATATATATATATATATATATATAGACACACACACTCTCGCGCGTCCGTCTCTTCGTCCGCGTCCCCCTCGCAAGCAATGTCGATCAACCGAACTAATAATCCTTCAGGATGTGTTTTTGGTCCAACGAAAGATATTAACTTTTCTTGAAACTGCGATATTTGCTTCCACGTCCAGGAATTCGCAATGTGGAAAGCGCTCTATTACTTATTGACAACTGAGACACGATTAAACGCTCCAGTTGCGCTCATTCCTCAGGACGTGATCTTATCGTGCACGCGAGACACTTCACCTGTTGGCAAACTTGAGGTAAAACATAACGATAGAATAGAAGGTAAATAGTGATGATAATGATAACATGGTTACTATGACAATGATGATGATGACAATAGAACAAATGAGAACGATGATAATGATAATTGTAACAATAATAAGGACAAAAATGAAAATGACAATAATAACATTAATGATAATGATAATAACAATAATAATGATAATGATAACAATAATAATGATGATAATAATATTGATAATGACAAAAGTAATAACAAAAATGATAATAATAAAGAAAATAGTAACGATCAAGATAATATATATATATATATATATATATATATATATATATATATATATATATATATATATATATCAACAACAACGTTCGTAACAGTACAGATAATAATAATGAAAACAGCAACAACATAAATGATTACAATAATAATAAAAGTAAAAAATGGAACCTGAGACTCTTTCGAAGCCTGATCTCCCTTTCCCTTGCCCTTCCAGGCTTCCTCGGCAGCGGGGGAAGTGACGCTGGTCCACGAGGGGCTCGGCGCGGGGTCCTCCTGGGGCTACTCCCTCCTGCCGTCGACCTTCCCGCTCTCCTGGGATGAGGCCAGGTCGGCGTGCGAGGTCGTGCCCGGGTCAATGCTGGCCAGAGGTAAGCGGGGCGGCTGGGCTGGTTGGTTGGCCTCGCTAGCTCTTTGGGGTATTTTTTCCTTCTCTGTCTCTGTTTATCTCTTTCTTTGTCTCTGTCTCTCTCTGTTTCTGTCTATCGTCCTCTGTTTCTGTCATTGTTACTGTTTCTCTCTTTCTATGTTTCTGTCTCTCTTACTGTTTCTCCCTTTCTCTGTTTCTGTCCCTCTAACTGTTTCTCTCTGTCTCCCTTACTTTTTCTCTCTGTCTCTCTTTCTCTGTTTCTGTCCATGTTGCTGTTTCTCTCTTTCTTTGTTTCTGCCTCTCTTACTGTTCTTCTATTTCTCTGTTTTTGTCTCTCTTACTGATTCTCTCTTTCTCTGTTTCTCTTCCTCTTACTGTTTCTCTTTTTCTCTATTTCTGTCTCTCTCTCTGCTTCTGCCTCTCCTACTGATTCTCCTTTTCTGTTTCTGTCTCTCTAACTGTTTCTCTCTTTCTCTGTTTCTCTTTTTCTCTGTTTCTGTCTCTCTCTGCTTCTGCCTCTCCTACTGATTCTCCTTTTCTCTGTCACTGTCTCTCTAAC